AATTAATACGCAAGCTATATAATATTACAAATTGCTAATTAATTAAACAATAAATAAGCTTAGAAATAAGTAAAACGCCTCGGAAATGCACGCCATGCAAGGCTGCTCTGTTTTCCTTCCTTCACTCCCCTGGAGGCTGTCAAACTCAGGACTCTTCCTGATGCTGGGAGACATCACCGCTGCATGGAATTGCCATCGGTAATGGATGTGGCCACCGCACAAGTGAAGCTGTCTGCAGAGAAATTATTGCGGTCGGCACTTACCACTGCGGTCGCAGAGTGTTCCTGCAGAATCTGCAAATGACAGCAACAGAGGGCAAGGCAAAAGCATGGTAGCAACAATTCAAGAGCTATATGCACCAACCATGTCCCTTATCATGGTAATGATCAAAGGGGATGTGCCTCGATTTCGGACCACCCATCACGCATTTCATGCATGATGGCCAAGGAATCAAGTATGCAACTTTCATGTCAAATGAAATGCAAACCAATCAAACAAACTAAGGCCAATTCCTATCATCAATTCAAGAACAAGGCATGCATGCAGAGCAATGCCAACCTAGCATGCAAGTAAGGATGCAAACTGGCATGGCAACAAACTTATGCAAGCATACAGCAAGATGGGGCATGCAAACCAAATAGAGGGTGACTTAAACATTGAATTAGGCAGCCTAAAGAGCCTAAAACAGTGCCAAAATGCCCAAAAATGGAGGCTAAACACCATGCACACATACACATGTTATGCGTCCAAGCATCAAGCATTAAACAAGCAACATTCAAGCCACTCGCCAAGGATTTTATGGCAATTAGCATGCACATGAGCTCTAAAATCATGCTAAAATGGTACAAACCAAGCAATAATCAAGCCAAGCATGCAACAAATGGCTAAGTGCTCAAAACAACCAATGGAGTATTGAACTACACTTAGCAAACAAAACATGCATGAACTCATGACAAAAACAGAGTTTTAGGACATTAATACAAGGCCTAGGATCACTTAGATGGCATCAAATGACTCAAAAACAAAGGCATGCAAATCACCAAAACAGGAGCATGAGAGACAACCTTAACAAGGCATAAAGGACAACTAAGCAAGCATAGCAAGCATACATAAGGTCTGAAATGACATGGGATGTCCAAATCACAAATCAATGTAAGAATGCATGCTACACACTCATAACCTTAGAGCAACAAGCCAAATGCACAAGGGTATATATATGCGTGCCAAATCGACCCATACAACCTAGGACAGACTAGAACATGGCAAAATATGCACAAAGCTTTACAAATGTAAGCCTAAAACATGCTAGAAACAAGGCAACACAACCTAGACATGTTAAGGATCATAAGGCATTACATGGCAAACTATGCTAAGCATGCATGAGTACCAAAACCAATTTAAAATCATGTTATATTATGGAAGATAACATGAAAACAGTCTATACATGTCAACACACACTAAACATAGGCTCCCTTAGAGGCCAAACATGCCCTTTTCAAGGACAACAAGGAGAGGGGTGCCTCTCCTTTAGAGATTCAAGGCACATCTCACCACTGAAATCCTCAATTTCAGTGGTTGAAAGAGGCCCAAACACCAAAGTCCCGAAACTAGCAAAATAGCACAAAATGAGGCCTTTCAAGGGCCTAAGAGGGGTCAACACCCTCAAACACAAAACACCTAATAACAATCAAGAGACTAAAAAAAGAAACTTTTTTGTGTTATACAATAAGCACGAAAATAGCTCTAAGATAGTAGAAAAATGCAAAAATGGGAATAAAGTGTTAGTTTCTTACCCTTGATGACCCTTCACAATGTGCTCCAATGGCTCCCTTGGCTTGAATCCAACACCAAAACTTCAAAATCAGTCCTTAGAACCTCAGTAGCTAAGTGAAGGTGAAACACTAGGTGTTTGTGTGCAATAGTATGATTAAACACACTAAACACACACAAGAGGGAAAAAGAGAGAGATAGTGTATCTACCCTAACCCTAGAACTCAAACCTAACAAATGGCTGTCTAAGCTCTCAAAATATCTCAAGTGTCTAACCCTTGCAACAAGAGAGAGCCCTCTTATATAGAAGTTTCTTTTTGTACAAGTGTAAAGCTTACAAAAGCTTCATAAGAGGAGATCCCTCATACACGTGATGGAGGAGAGCAAAAGCAGAAGCTGTCTTAAAATATCTACAAAAGCGTTATGCCACAGAGTCGGCCGACCAAATGCCATCTTGCCCAAAGGAATAATAGTGCGATCGGAAATAAAGTGAACTGACCGCAACAAAAAGTGCGACCGGCAATAAAAAGTGCTCGATGAAGCAAAACCAGCGCGTGGCTCTAGCCCTGCGGTGATGTGTGGGTGCTACAAGGCATTCCTGCCCTCCAAGCAAAACACAAGTGTTTGGTGTAAAACAAGACACTAAACAGTCAAGTTCGAAGATCCTGAGGCAAGGCGCGCGGATCGAGACCTTCAGGAACTCAAACGAACACAACATGGATAATCACGAGTGTTCAAACGTGAGTCCAAGTCTGAGGCGGTCAAAATGGGTGTCTACAGTGTGATTAAAATATATAAATAATCACACTTTAATTAGAATGGTGGTTAAAATATCTATATAATCCACCTATTTAAAAAGTGTGATTAAAAGTAGTAGTGTATATAATCACACTTTAATTAGAAGTGGGATTAAAAAATATATAAATATACATTTTAATTAGAATGTTGTGGTAAAAATATCTATATAATCACCCTATTTAAAAAGTGTGATTGAAAGTAGTAGTGTATATATAATACACACTTTAATTAGAAGTGGATTAAAAAATATATAAATAATCACACTTTAATTAAAATGTGTGGTTTAAAATATCTATATAATCAACCATTTTAAAAGTGTGATTAAAAGTAGTAGTATATATATTAATCACTTTAATTAGAAGGTGATTAAAAATATATAAATACACACATTAATAGAAATGTTATTAAAAATATATATATAATACACTTGTTTAAAAGTGTGATTAAAAAGTAGATAGTGTTAATATAATCACACTTTAATTAGAAAGGTTGTGATTAAAAAATATATTATTAATCAACTAATTTGAAAAAGTGACATAAAAATAAATATTATCACACTCATCAAATTAAGTGTGATTAAAATATCAATCTAATTTTTTTTTTATCACACTTCAATAAAAGTGAGATCTTTTTTTTTTTTGTCAAAGTGTGATCGTTAACTATTTTTGTAGTAGTGTTAATAATCGAAACAAGAGCATATAATAAGATACGAATCATATCATGATTAGTAGAGGCCGATCTTTGATCGTGGCGAGCGGGGTGCTCAATTCATGACTCCCTTCATCTAGTTCTCGAGTCGCAGACAATCTTGGTGATGACGGACACGTGGCCTTTGTCACGAGTCATGGGTTCCTAAATTTTCACAAAATATTTAAGTAGTGACTCTGATTGGCAAAGCAGTCCATTTTGGCATTTTGCTTCAAAATCGATTTTTCAAAAGATTTGCTGGATTTGGACTCTTTTGTGTTTTTATTTCACATTGCACTGTTGAATCAGATTCAAAACCACGGGAGTTCGAACTGTAGGACTTACCGTCTTTAAAGGGCACGAAAAGTCGAGCATGTCAAAGGTGGAGGGGAGTAGTTTTTCAGGAGATATTATTGCAATCGTTAGTTACATATCTGGCATCATTTTACGTTCTTGTATTGTTCAAGGCTTGTACATAATATTTAAAAAGTTGGAGTTATTTACTTGAAGAAACTTTATTTTACTTCTTTTGTTTCCTTTATGGTTGAAATATTGGGTTTTGGTAGATATTTCACTGTCCTTAATATATTTACTAAAATTTAGATTCATCTTTCAAAACTTATGAGACATGAAAGAGTAGTTAACACATTTGATAATGATGACAACGAATAATTGGATGTTTAGCCTCATTCACTTCAGATATTGCTAAATTGTCAACGATTTATACTATTGAATCAGATGAGCATCATGATGAAAACTAAAAAAAATATTATTACGCTTCCAAAACATCGAGATAGTGATGATGATGCATTATCATAAAAAAAAGAAAAGAAAAGAAAAGAAAAAGAAGTAAAGAGCTAATTTCCTAATTGTTTCTCCCAAAATCAATTAGAAACTTGTATAAAAGGCTTGTATTTAAATTAATAAATTGTTTTTGAATCATTTACCTGGTCATCTTTGGGCAAAGTTCAGGATTTTTGTGAATTAAGTAGCATGAGAAAGAAAATGGAAGATATGCTTTTCATAAGTTAGAAAAAAAATAAAAAAAAATAAAATTACAAAAGGAAGAATAACAATAAAAAAGTGGCACTTCACACCGAAGGGAATATTTGACTTTACTTTAATCTCTCAACTATCCTACTAGACATTCTCGTGACTTATTATACCGATAAAATGCCTTGAGAATCGATCACCTCAACATATTGTTCAATGTGGATCACCTCATTTCGTATATGCACCATATAAGCTTAGATGATTTTAAATTCACAAATCATAATCTAAGTTAAAACTATATTGCACTTAAAATCAACCAAGCAACCAAATCACAACGCTATGCCCAATTATATATTTTGTGAGAAATCTATCTATTTTTAAATTAAAAATAATAAATAAATAAATACAACTATGTGATTCTGGTATTGAAACTTTCAAATAATTGTTGAAATTCAGCATATCAAATTTTTATACATGGGTATGATCCACCCACTCAATGTTGATTGCTAACTTTCCATTTGTTCCAATTTTAATTCTTCATAAGATGAACTGATGTTCATAAAGTTTTTGAAACGAAGTTTGAAACATTTTATGTTTAATGAATGGTTAATTCAGTTAAATAGAAAAAAAAATTTCATTTTTTGTCTTCTACCCCTTTCAATTTGTGCCCTTCAATAGTTGGTGACAATGTGAAATGTTGTTTTGTAGGTGCATTGCATGTGCCTTGTTGGTAGTATACTTGGGGTTGTCATATGGCCTGTATGTTCCAGATTGGAAATTTGAGTTACTGAGATCAATTTCTATGCCTCCCACAAATGGAAGCTTTGTTTACACTGTAAGATTATGCTCTATACTCCTTAACTTTCCTGCCAACAATCGATTTGTCAAGTTGACACTCTCTTGGAAATTTTAGGGATGTTGGTAGGGAGACACTTAATTTTTTATTTTTTTTTGTGTGTGGTTGTGTGTGTGTGTGTGTGTGTGTGTGTGTGTGTGCGTGTTTACTGTGACTTGGTTGGATGGTGAGTTTGTTGACTTTGAAGTGGAATGAATGTGTGAGCTTACTTTCATCTCCAGTCACTGCTGTTGAATTTGAATATTCCAATCTTCATGCTTTTTCAGAGCATGTGATTTATTATGGAAACCATGTTTTGTAGTGTTCAAGTCAACTTAAGATGGGAGGATGTCTATGCCATTCTTAGTGATTATAGTGATTCTCAAATATTACTGCATTAAGCATCAACTGATTTCTTTCTTCTATTTGATATTGGGACATACATAATAGTAGAATGCTTGCTAATATGTGAGAAATTACACAGAAGATAGTCATCCATATTACAAAAACTTGTTAAATAATCTAAATCCTCCATTTATGGAGTTTGTCATATTAGGTGACATGTTCCACAAGAGGAGATCATGGACCTGCCTGTAATGCTGTTGGAATGATAGATCGTTGTGTTCTTGGTCTTAATCATCTATATCCAAAACCTATTTATAGAAACTTCAAGGTAACTCTATTTTGAAAGTAAAATTTTGTAAAATTTCGTTTTACATTCTGCAATCAATTGATTCCTATATGGTATCCCCTTCACAGGAATGCAATATTTCCAGCATTGGCCAAATTTCAGATAATTCACCGTCATGGTGTCATACTCCTTTTGATCTTGAAGGTATATTAAGGTGACCAATCTAATCCTTTCTTTTTCCTTCATGATGGTACTTCAAAACCTCTGTTCTATTATGTATCGTCTTATCATCGTTGTCTTAATTGTTATTACATGAAAATGCAATACACTTGAGATATTGGTATTTTGAACTGGTAATATGATGTCATTTATATTTGACTATGATTAAATGGTTCCTTAAATTGGATTAGTCATGAAAGCATATTTAGATTTATAACTTATATGATTCAGGAACATTTGTTTAATAGTTTGACTTTAGATATGCAGAAGTGACTGTACTTCATAGTTTATTAAACCTTCAAGGAGTTGTAATGTGCACTGTTGACACCCTGTATTTAAAGTTCCTTGACAGCTGCTGTGACGTGCATAATTGGACTTCGGTATGGCCACATTCTTGGACAATTACAGGTAAGACAACTTTGCACCAATTGATTGTTCCCTTGTTCTCTATTTTTTATCTTTTCTCTTAATTTTGGTGTTTACTGCTAGACTTTAATGGACATGTGTATTCTTAGAAAACTCAAAGAGTAATGCTACGCTTCATGAAAGAAATATCAACAAAAACTTCATGAAACTAATCTAAGGGTGATTGCATGACATACAATAAAACACTACAAACTAATCTAAAGATGGAGAATCTTCACGAAGCTTTTTTTTGATGTTTTTTCACGAAGCCTAGCATTTCACAAAACTCAATCGATGAGTTTACTTTGTAAAAAGATTAATGCCAATACATGCAGGATTTACGAATTAATCTAGATGAATGGCCATCTGTCATTGCTGTTAAGTTAATACTTTTGCGCATTCCTTGGATGAAAATGAGACAGTTTCCAAGAATATTATTTCTTAATGCCTTATATTTCACTTTTAGAATGTAAGCATTCCCTTTATTAGAGGACTCAAAAGACAATTCATTCACGGAGGCACAATTTTATTTCAAAGATACATACTGTGAATGGTCGAAATCATCTGTTGTGTTCCTATTAGTTACATAAATAAAGGGAATCTAACGTGTCTGAAATGTGTTGCAGGACCATAAAGAGCTGTTATACAATTGGTGCATATTTTCATTTTTATTTTTGGGAATTGGATTATTCCTTGCCCTAGTAGGTATGCTTAATGATGACTATCCTTTTTCTCCTTACTTATTATTTTTACTTTTTAAGAAGACAAGGTATTAGTAGGAAAAGTAAAAAATTAAGGGAAATAATGATAATGCTATATGGGATTTTCTACACTGCCAATGTTAGATTTTTTGTTTTTTTATACTTGGCTAAAATTGACCTTGGGTGCTCCTGTTCGTTTGAGAGGGATGCCAGGAAATTAAAATCTGGTTTTAAATCCACAAATTTATACGCTTCAAATAGCCAAGATACTGATATTTGACTTTTTCTTTTCCTTTCAAGTATATCTTTGAACAAACCTCTGTACACAATCAGTTACATGCTGGTTACATCTGCACCTATAGGAATAACATTTTCTGCTCTGTATATATTGGTGAGTTCTAAACAATAACATTAAATTGAATGGTTGAAAACTTTTAGACTGCACTTCGTGGATTTGTTGTTAATATTTGGACAACAAAAAAACTTTTACTCCCCTTTCAAAAAAAAAAAAATAAAATAAAATAAAAGAAGAAGAGGAAAAAACTTGATTAAAGTAATATTTAGTAAAGAAACAATTTATCTTCCATTGCCATCTATTCACCTTTCCCAAAAAAAAAAAAGAAAAAAAAAAAGTAAGGAAAGTTTATAAATTATAATCCTCTATTTTTCCTTTCGTGGGCATAATTTTAAACCTCAGGCTTATTTGACTGATGAAGGAAAAACAACATGACATAGCTTATATGTGCTTTTTTGTTCTTTACTTTTCCTCAATTAACGGGACGACAGATGGAGTAGTGTAGCTTGACTTTTCGCACTCCTTTCAGAAGACGAATAAGCCCTACAGTATCGGACTCTCGCGGTTTCGAATCTGATCTCACAAATGCAATGTGAAATAGATAAGCGCCAAAGAGTCCAAATCCGGAAAATCTTTTGAAAAATCGATTTTGAATCAAATTACCAAAAATGGACTGCTTTGCTAGATACAGAGTCGCTACCTAAATATTTTTGAAAAATTTAGGAAACCTATGACTCGTGCTAAGGACCACATGTCCGTCATCACCAAGATTGTCTCGGTTTAGGAACTTAGATATGAGAGGAGAAGGTCATGAATTGAGCACCCCCGCTCGCCTGATCAAAGATCGGCCTCTACTAATCATGATGTGATTCTTATCTGCATTATATGCTTTTGTTCTGATTATTAGGCTAGTATTACTATGTGATGCGCACATACACAAGTATAGACTAAATTGGAAAAATTGGAACACTTTATTTCATGTTTGTTTTGAAAAGAATTTGTAAATGTGCCACTCGAAAAAGTGGGCTTAAATGTACATGAATCAAACCATCCCAATTCATGCAACCAGCTTTCATTCACAGGCATTTAAACAGTTTATCATTTAAGCACTTAGCCTCATAGTGAACATGCTAAATATGGCAACATCAACATACAACGCAATATGCTAAAACACAGAAATGCGTACCTAGTACTCTGAGGAGAGCCAAAAAGAACAAAAGAGTTAGAAAAATGCATGATCCTAACTATGCAATATGATTAATGCAATACACACAATATGCAATTATAAGGCTCGGCTACTAATATGGCATATGAATCAATTTGATATCATGCGGTCTAAGTACGTATTCAAAGAAGCGTTAAACTAACAATGTGTAGACACCCCATTTTTTACCGACCTTATGACTCAAACGTCATCGATGGAGCGCTCGATGATTGCGCATGTTGTGCTCGTTTCGAGGTTTTGGAGTTCTTGGCTGAGAGCCTCGCCTCCGGACCTCGGGACTCTTTGTACTTTGACTCGGTCTGCGGACTAAGTTTTGTTTTCTCTTCTCGGAGGGAGGGAGAGGTCTTGTAGACCATCTCTCAGTGGTCGTAGACTACTTTTCGTGGTCGTAGGCCACTGTTCCCGTTTGGAGACTAGTTTCTAATTTTCGGAACCGTCGGCCATGTGCCTCGGTTCGGAACCGCTTAACATTCTCCATTTGGCACAGTTTTTGGAACACACCTTGTTTCCTCTGTCTAGAGGGACACTGTGGTCCGGGAGACCACTTTTGTGGCTGTACGCCACTTTTGGTGCTCAACAGTTAGTTTTTGGGGCACCCAGTCGCGCGCTTTGCCCCCTCGAACTCTCGTTTTGCATCCGTGTTGGTTCATTTTTGGCATGAACCTTGTTTTTCTTGTTTGGGAGGTGGTATAAGGGTGGGAGACCACCTTTTCTCCTTGGAGACCACTTTCTCCCCGCTAGTCGATTTTCTTGGTCTTTGGGCCACATTTGTTGGTCTCCCACCACACCACTAGCTTGCTTTCAAAGTGGAGACCACCATTTGCCCTGGCCGACCAATTTTTATTTGGGAGACCACTTGACCTGGTCGGCCGACCAGGGAAAGTGGTCAGCCGGCCACCTTTTCTGGTCGGCCACCTCCCTCCTGTTTTGTCTGTTTGTGTGGATGCCAGCTGTGCCAGCTGGAAGGCACAGACTGTATCCTCCATATGGAGGATCTTGAGCCAAGTTTTTAGCTTCTTGGAGAAGCTTTGGATTTGAAACTCTATAAGAGAGGCCCTCTCTCTCCTTATACTAGGTTGAAAGATTACTCTAAGGAAAAAGCTTATATCTCTCTCTTTGTTTCTATATTTTAGGCTTAGAAAGTGCTTTGTTCTTGGCCTATTGCACACCATCTCATAACCATACACCTCCACCCTTGTTACTGAGTTGCTGGAGGGTTTTGAGAGGTCTCAAAAGTTGGGTTTTGGTTCAGAAAAGTTGCTGGTTTTGCTGAGCTTCAACGGTAATCACTTTTCCCTCTTTTAAGCATTATTTTGATCCTTCTCTTACCCTCATTTGCATGCTTATTTGAGCTTTGTTTTCAAATGAAAAAAGGTTCATATTTAAGTGATTTTCATGTTTGTTTAAGGCTCTTTTGGTGTTGGGGGTCATCTACGCTCTTGCATGCTCTATTTAGCCTTATTTTGTGACATGCCATAAGGCATTCGAGCTAGTCTTTGCTTGGCCTTCCTACCACTGAAATCCAGTAGATTTTTAGTGGTGAGAATGTGGCTTTGAGGGCCTAAATCAGAGAGGGGTGACCCTCTCTCTTGTTGTCTTGTTTACTAGCATTTTTGGCCTACCAAAGGAGCATATGTTTATACCATTTGGAGGGCTAGTTCAGGCACTTTTTGGTGACTTCTAGGACCTTCCTAGGCTCTAACCATGGCTGGTTTGGTCTCCTTTTGCTTGCTTCTTGCATGTGTAGAGTAATCCCTTTCATGGCTTATCAAAGGAGCATGTCATTCTTGCATGTATTGGTTTTGTTTCAGTGGGTTTTTGGCCATCATTTGGCATGCCATGACTCTGTTTTTTCTTGGTTTGGTAGTCCTTCACATGCTTCGTATGCTTGTAGTGTAACTCATGTTCACTAGCTTACAATGCATGTTGTTTTAGCCTGCTATTCTAGCATGTTTTGGCCACACTTCAAACTGATTTTGTTCCTATTTTGGGCTGCCTTAGCTCTATCTTGAGGCCTCTTGGTCAAAAAATGCTAGCCATGCATACTTGTTGTGTAATAGCATTGACTAGCTTTGAGTTTGGAGGTCCCTTGCATGCTTAACTTGGGGTATTTACATGTTTTGGCATCATTGGGTATGATATTTCAGAGCTTATAGGGGTGCTACAGTTCCATATTTTCAATGCTTTAGGTGCTTTTTAGAGTTGTGCATTTATGCCCTATTTGCGAGCCATTGCATGAGCTTCACTTTTGTACTGTTTAAGCCATCATCCTAACCCATTTTGCTACTGTTTTGGGCCTGCATAGGGTCCATTTGGGGTTGGTTTCATCATTTGAGTATCGCTTTTCTTGCCTATAGTGTAATGCACTTCACTAGTTTCAATGCTTGAGCCATTCAACATGCGTTGTGTGAGTTGTTTGCATGATTCGGAGTCATTTTGGAGTCATGTTATATGCCATTTCTGAGCTGAAATATATGCCATTGTACTCCATGTTTAGTCCTTTCAATGCATGTGCAAAGTTGTGTTTTTTGTGCCTTGGGCTTAGGTCCTTGCATTGTGTATGCTAGCATGAGTTTTGGAGTCTTGTTTTCATCATGTTTGGCCACTGATTTGGGTGTGGCTGAGGCCCATTCATTTTGGTTTAAGTCCATTTTTGCATTGAGTATGCCATGTTGTCACGTGATTGATCATTGCATTGTGCATGCCTTGTTCATCTCATTGTGTATGTTAGTTTCTACGTGCATTATGTATGCTAAGTGTCATGTGCATTGAGTGTGCCATTGTTAGTTCATAGCATTGTGTATGCTAGTTGCATGTTTACATGTTATCCCATGCATGTTTGTATGACTTAGTTTCATCACATTTGGATTGTGCACTTGGAGTCGCATTGAGCATGCCATGTGTGTTGCATTGTGTTTGGAATAGGAGTTAGCCGACATTCTTGACTACCCATGATAGAGTTGTTGGATTTAGGTGTTAATATGTGCATTCATTTCACATTGAGTTGTGCAATTTGACTCCTCAACCATCATGCATTGAAATGCGTGATTGGTGGCCCGAGGGTCGAGGACTACACTCCCAAGAGCTTATGCACTGACGAGGAGAGTGGTCATGCACACATGTGTTGCAAATACCTTGTCGTGCCTCTCTCTTCCCCTTTGTTGTAGAAAAAAGGAATCCAGGAGAAGAAACTGGTCGGCCGACCAGGTTTTCTGGCAGGCCGACCACCTTCTTTGGTTTCCACCACAAAAGGTGGTCGGCAGGTGGTCTCCCATGCCCCTAAGCTGGTTGGTAGCCTTCCCACAGATTCCTAGGGTGGTGTTTCATCTCTCTGGAGCTTTGTGCAAGTTTCTGAGACCAATTGCAAACAAAGGCGAGTTGGGGCATCGCGATGGATTTCCCGACAAGGCAACTCGAGCAATGCATGCATCTTTTATCATTCAAGGCAAAGTTGAGGCAGTCCACATTCATGCAGTTTGCATGCTAGTTTAATCTCTTACTTAGTTAGTTTGTTAATTAATTAAAGTTATGTAATAATTAGCTGTAATTTATTATTCATTTTGGTTGTGTAATAACTAGCTTAATTAGATTAGCTTAGATTAGCTAGTTGGTGTTGTATTATTTATTCGAACCCTCCGTCGAGAGGGCCAACTATTGTAATAAAGTGTGCGTGTGTGTGATGCATGTCTTCCAACCCCACGTCTTTCCCCATTTTATTTACCAGCTTATAATGGTTAGTTTTAAGGCATGTTTTAATTAACATCCTTATGCTCGCATGCTGCATCCATTCATCTGTCTTGCATGCATCGGGCTCGGCGCATCATACTAACCACATTGTATTTCAATTCCAAGTTGAATACTTGTTATTTGTAACATCTCATACGCTATT